TATATATATATATATATATATATATATATATTTTGTTTTTTTCTTCTTCTTGCTGATGCAGTAGTTGTAGCTGCATCATGTGACAGCCCCAAACAGGTACATGCACAGCTGTATATGTCGATATTTTGTTTTATATAAATTTCTGTTTTTTTAGGGTTTAGGGTTTAGGGTTTATTCAATTAAGCTTATTACAAGAATCTATACTGTGTATTTTATCTATATATTATATGATATATAATAAATTATATAATATAATATATTATATAATATAATATATTATATAAACATATAGTATAAGTGTATGTTTATATGGTGTTTAAATAGTTATTATAAAGCCTTTTATAGAGAAACCGAAAGAAAGCGTAGAGAAACAGAAAAAAAAAAAAAGAGATATATTACTGCAACAACCAGCGCAGCACCTAATGCTGCTGCTGCTGCTGCTGTTGCTGCTGCTGCTGCTGCTGTTGCATGCATTTATTTGTTGCTTTGTTTATTTGTTTTTTCTGTTTATAAATAAATATTTTGTGTTGGGGTTTAGTGAGCGAGGGTAAGGGGGCTCATTGGTACTCCTGCATTTTGGGTCTATAAAGGGTTAAATAAAAAGAAAATAAAAGCAGAGAAATAAAAGAAAATAAATTTTAATTTAATTTATTTTATTTTTATTCTTTTTTTCATCTTTTTGTTGCTTTTGTTTCTCCCCTGAACAGTGAGCGGAGAACCGGCGGTCTGTTTTCCTAGGGCTTGTATAGCACGACGATGAGCCGCTAATGTTGTGTTTATTTTGTTTTTTTTAAATAAAAAATAAATTTATTTTTAATTTAATTTATATTTATTTCGAATTCAATTTAATAAAACAAAATAAACAAAAGCTGTATTCTTGTTGCTGCTGGTGGTTCAGTCTTCCCCCGCCGATCGTTGCTGCAACAGGCAGTGCTTGTGTGGGGGTATTGTTTCTTTTGTTTTTTTTTTGTGTTTTTCTGTATTATAATATAATTTATTAAGTTTAATTCATTTGTTCTATTTTCTTTTTATGATTAAAACTCACATAAAGTACCCAGGGTGCTCGTGCTGCTAGCGGCACCGCAGCAGCTGCACGTACAGCCGAGCCCTGAACCTCTTCATATTTATTTATCTTTTATATTCTTTTTGCTGCTGTTGCTTTGTATTTTTTGCTGCTATCTTTTGCTGCAGCAGCTTCTGCTGCTCTTGTTTCTCCCCCTTATTGTAGCTGCTGGGTTGACGTGCTGTATCGATACATATACATACACTGCATCACTGCTGCAACTCTCTCTATTAAACTTATATTTTGTCTTTTTTATTTCTCTTACTTTTGCTGTTGTTGTATACAAAACTTCTCTCTATAACAGCAGCATCTGCATGCACCATATGCTTTTTCTGCTGCGTCTCCTCGATCAGGGTTTGTTCCTATTTACATTTCTTTGTTTTATTTTAACGCAATACAGCTCTTCTCCCCCTACAGCCCCCAGCATATCCCTTTCAGCAGCAGCAGCAGCAGCAGCAGCAGCAACTGCAGCAGCAGCAGCAGCAGCGGCAGACGTCCCTGCAGCAGTAGTACACTGTAGCAGCAGCAGCAACCAAAGCAACAAGGGCTGAAGCAGCAGCAGCATCAACTGCTGCAGCATTCAAAACAGAAGAGTGCAGCAGAAGCAGCAGCAGCAGCGGCAAAGGCCGCAGCAGCAGCAGAAGCAACAGCAAGAGCCAAAGACGCAGCAGCATCAGCAGCAGCAGCAGCAGCAGCAGCAGCAACTGCAGCATATAAAACTTGCTGCAGCAGCATACACCGTAGAACAAACCCAGAAGAAGCAGCCGAAGCAACTACTGCAGCAGCAAAAGCCCTAGCAGTAGAAGCAACAGCAACAGCAACCGCTACGTGAGCAGCAGCAGCAGCAGCAGCAGCAACAGCAGCTGCCCCAACAGCAGCAGCAGCAGCAGCAGCAGCAGCAGCAGCAGCAAGAATAGGAGAAATAGATATTCTTACACCCCCATATTTGTGTGTTTATTCAAATGCATGATGCGTCAGTCCCCAGCCAGAAGGTTGGGGGGCGTGTGGGGTCTCAGGTTGCGCATGCACTCTCTGCTGCTGCTGCTGCTGCTGCTGCTGCTGCTGCTGCAGCAACAGCAGCAGCAGCAGCAGCAGCAGCAGCCAGTGCTTTTTGCTGAAGCTGCAGAGACAGGTTCTATCGCTAACCCCTTAGAAAAACCAGAAGATGAGGTGTATGTACACCTCAATAGAGAGGGGGATGCAGCAGCAGCAGGAGACAGTTGGGGCGATAGAGAGAGGAGACAGCAGCAGGATGCTGTTTTGTCTCCTTTCAGCAGCAGCAGCAGCAGCAGCAGCAACAGTAGTATAGGCGGTTGGAGGCATTTGTTTGGCCTGGGGAGACGCTCTAGAACTCCTGCTGCAGCAGCAGCAGCAGCAGGTGCTGTTCTTGCTGCTGCTGCTGCTGCTGTGCTCGCTGTTGTGTTCCTGCTGCTGTCGTGTGGTGTCTCCATCAGCAGCAGACAAGCAGCAGCAAAAGCAGGGGGCAGCAGCAGGCGGCTCGCATCTAACCAGGACGAAGGGCCTTGCATGGAAGCTGCAGCAGCAGCAGCAGCAGAAGAAGAAGAAGAAGCAGCAGCAGAAGGAGCAGCAGCAGCAACAGAAGGAGAACAAGCAGCAGCAGCAGAACCAGCAGCAGCAGAAGAGGAGGCACCAGTAGAAACAGGAGAAGCAGCAGCAGCAGCAGAAGAAGCAGCAGCAGCAGAAGAAGCAGCAGCAGCGGAAGAAGCAGCAGCAGCAGAAGAAGAAGCAGCAGCAGCAGCAGCAGAAGAAGCAGTAGCAGCAGAAGAAGAAGAAGAAGAAGAAGCAGAAGAAGCAGCAGCAGCAGCAGAAGGAGAAGAAGCAGCAAGAGCAGTAGAAGAAGCAGCAGCAGCAGCAGCAGAAGAAGCAGCAGCAGCAGCAGCAGGAGAAGAAGCAGCAGCAGCAGTAGAAGAAGCAGCAGCAGCAGCAGGAAAAGAAGCAGCAGCAGCAGCAGGGGGAGCAGCAGCACTCGATCCAATGGCCGTTCCCTTCGTCCCCAGAGCCTCCTCGTATGCAGCAGCAGCAGCAGCAGCAGCAGCAGCAGCAGACCCCAGCGCCTTGACGGCTCCAGCAGCTGAAGAGGCTGCAGCAGCAGCAGCAGCAGCAGCAGCAGCAAGAGCACCAGCAGCAGCAGCAGCAGGACATCAAGGTCTCGATCCCTTTGCTGTTCCCTTCTTTCCTAGGACTTTCTTCTATTCAGACATTGGCGGTGCTGATGAAGATGCAGCAGCAGCAGCAGCATACAGCAGCAGCCGCAGCCGCAGCAGCAGCAGCAGCAGCAGCAGCACCAAGGAAAGTGACGACGCAGACGAAGCAGGTATGCAGCAGCAGGATTATGCGGGGCAACAACAACAGCTCCACCAACCAGCAGCAGCAGCAGCAGCAGCAGCAGCAGCAGCAGCAGCAGCCGCAGCAGGAGTACGTGGCGCTCAAGGGCTCCCAGGAGACAATGTAAATGATCTATTTTTATCTCTGCTTGCACAGACCAGCAGCCTAGGCAGAGGAGAAGAGACATCAGAGGGGTCAGCTGAGGAGACAGCTGAGGAGACAGCTGAGGTTACACCTGAGGAGACAGCTGAGGAGACAGCTGAGGAGACAGCTGGGGATACAGCTGAGGAGACAGCTGAGGAGACAGCAGGAGCAAGAGAAGAAGAGACAGAGCAGCTAGTAGTAAGGCCAAAGACAAGAGGAGCCGTCACGGGTGTACAAGGAAAAATAAAAAAAGAAGAAAAAAGAAAACAACCACAAACGCATGCAGCAGACTTTCTTTCGCTGCTCCTCGATGCTGCATCCCCCCCCTTCACGGATACTAGAGCAGCAGCAGCAGCAGCAGCAGCAGCAGCAGCAGCAGCAGCAGAAGTATCAGGATCAGGTTCATGGTCAGAGGAGGAGGGAGCAGTTGGCGCTTACGACGAAGACGAAGACGAAGACGACGAAGCAGCTGCAGCAGCAGCAGCAGGAGCAGCAGCAGCAGCAGCAGAATACGAGGACGATGAAGAAGTATCAGAGTTTCTAGCTGAGATGGCAGCAGAAAGAGAAGAGGAGAGAGGTGTTGAGGGGGGGGGTTTAAGGGGGGGCATCCCCATACTGTGGGCGGGGAAGATGACGAAGACAGTACCTAGCTCTATCTCTCTCACCTCTCTTCTTATTCGTTATAGAGAGTTTGCTGATCATTGTAAACTATATATAACGAGGTTACCTCGATCACTGGCGAGGGGCGTTGCCACACGAATACTGCGGTTTATAGTTATAGAGATGACGATGCTGGCACCTTTCTGTACAGCTGAAGATGAACGTATAAGACAACACCTTATTAAGAGGTTTGAAGCTGTGGGGAAAGCTGTTGGGGGCAGGCCGCAGAGACACCCCATACAGGCGAATGCATTAGATTATTTTTTAGCTTTATTAGAGGAGTTGAGGGGTATAGAGGGGAGACACGAGTGTGGGCTTCACTATAAAAAAGAAGCAGAGAAAAATACACTGCCTGCGTCTGCTGCTGCACTGCGACATGTTGTGAACTCACTTAATATTTTACTACAAAATATAGAAAAAGGAACAGGAAAAGTTTCGTATGCTGTCTCTGCAGTTCAGAATAAAGTTATTTCTGCTGTTGTAGGAGAAAGGCTCTATCAGCTGCTGGGTGATAGAGTAAGCGAGAAACTGCTGCAGCGTATACAAACAAAAGTATGTACGGCTCTTCTCTTTACAAAAGCAAGTGCACGCAAGGCGGCTAAGAACCCGAGACCAAAAGAAGGAGCAATGAAGGCACTGTATGTTGATGCTGTAGCGAAGGAAGCAGCAACACAAGCTGCTGCTGCAGCAGCAAGAGAAAGGGGGGTTAGAGCTGGGAAACAAGCAGCACAAACTGCAGCAGCAACTGCAGCACTAGGGGATACACCAGATGATACAGAAATCAAAG